TGACCTCATTCCTACGTGTGTGAATAAAGCGACTGTTCACGCCCCCAGAGGTCAGAAATTTCTCTGTGCTTCACTGAGCTTTCAAGCGAGGTTAAGTATCACTGAATTTCTCCTTTGCAAAGTGAAACAAAAAATCTTACTGGTCTCTGTTGTCAATTGTTTAAATGTTTGGCGGGGTTGTTGTGTTTCTCTGAGTTCTAGGTTAAAAAATACCAGACACTGGCTCAAGACCATGGGCTCGGATTTGGAGGCACTGATCCTCATCCCGGCTGCTTCACACTCGGCTTCGAACCGCTCCAGTGAGAGCTGGAGATCAGGATCTGATGAAGCCAACAGGACCACATCATCCATAAAAAGCAGAGATGTGATCCTAAGGTCACCAAAAAGTATCCCCTCAACATCTTGGCTGCTCCTAGAAATTCTGTCCATAAAAGTTATGAACARAATCTGTGACAAAGGACAACCTTGGTGGAGTCCAACTCTCACCGGAAACAAGTCCGACACTACCAGCAATGCGGACAAGCTCTGGCACCGGTCCTACAGGGACCTAACATCCCATATCAATGGGCCTGGTACCCCATACTCCCAGAGTAACCCCCACAGGAGTCCCCGAGGGACACGGTAGAATGCCTTCTCCAAGTCCACAAAACACATGTAGATTGGTTAGGCGAACTCCCATGCACCTTCCAGGACCCTGCTGAGTGTGCAGAGGTGGTCCGCTGTTCCACGACCAGGACAAAAACCACACTGCTCTTCATGAATCCGAGATTTGACTATTTTTAAATAGGGAGACTGTAGAGTTGCGTCAACCAGTGCAACCTTACAACATCCAGAGCCTTAAGGAACTCCGGGTGAATCTCATCTACCCCCGGTGCCTTGTCACCGAGGAGCTTTTTAACCACCTCGGTGACCTCAGCACCACAGATTGGAGAGTCCGACCCAGGGTCCTCAGGCTCTGCTTCCTTATGGGAAGACGTGTCGGTAGGATTGAGGAAGTCCTCGAAGTATTCCGCCCACCGACACAAAATATCCTGAGTTGAGGTCAGCAGTGCACCATCCCCACCATAAATAGTGTTGGGGCAAACCGCTTTACCCCCCGAGATGCCGGATGGTGGACCAGAATCGCCCCGAAGCCGTACGGAATTCTTTTTCCATGGCTTCTTCGAACTCCTCCCACGCCTGAGTTTTCGTCTCAGCGACCACCCCAGCCCCAATCCTCTTGGACTGCCGATACCTATCAGCTGCTTCCAGAGTCCCACAGGCCAAAAAGACAGGATAGGACTCATTCTTCAGCCTGACAGCATCCCTCAACCCCGGTGTCCACCAGCGGGTTTGAGGGTTGCCGCCACAACAGGCACCGACAACATTACGGCCAAAGCTCAGGTAAGCTGCCTCGACAATGGAGGTACGGAACATGGTCCACTCGTACTCAATGTCCCCCACCTCGCCTGGAACATGTTCGAARTTTCCTTGGAGGTGTGAGTTGAAGCTCCGTCTGACAGGAGACTCTGATAGACATTCCCAGCAGACCCTCACTATACGTTTGTGTCTGCCAGGTCTGACCGGCATCCTCCCCCACCAACAGAGCCACCTCACCACCAGGTAGTGGTCAGTTGACAGCTCCGTCCYTCTCTTCAACTAAGTGTCCAAAACATGCAGCCACAGATCAGATAAAACGACAACTAACTCGATCATCGACCTGCGGCCTAGGGTGTCCTGGTGCCAAGAGCACATATGGACACCCTTACGTTTGAACATGGTGTTCATTATGTACAATCCATGATGAGCACAGAAGTCCAATAACAAAACACCGCTCGGGTTCAGGTCTGGGGGGCCGTTCCTCCCAACCACGTCTCTGCAGGTCTCACTGTCATTACCCACGTGAGCGTTGAAGTCCCCCAGCAAAACGAGGGAGTCCCTGTTAGGAGCGCTCTCCAGCCCCCCCTCCAAGGACTCCAGAAAGGGTGGGTAATCTGACCTGCTGTTAGGCTCATAGGCACAAACAACAGTCAGGACCTGTCCCCACACACATAGGCAGAGGGAGGCTACACTCTCATTCACCGGGGTGAACCCCAACATACAGGCACCGAGATGGGGGGCAATAAGTATGCCCACTCTTCCTTGGCACCTCTCAGCATGGACAACTCCAGAATGGAAGAGTGTCCAACCCCTCTCAAGGATACTGGTTCCAGAGCAGTGTGTTGAGTTGAGTCCAACTATATCTAGTCAGAACCTCTCAACCTCACACACCAGCTCAGGCTCCTTTCCCACCAGAGAGGTGACATTCCACATCCCTAGAACCAGCTTCTGTAGCCGAGGATCAGACCGCCAAGGTCCTCGCCTTCAACTACCGCCCAACACACATTGCACCCGTCCCTTACAGCCCCTCCCACAGGTGGTGATCCCATGGGAAGGGGGACCCATGTCTCCTCTTCGGGCTGTACCCGACCGGGCTCCATGGGTGAAAGCCTGGACACCAGGCGCTCACCAACGTGCCCCACCTCCAGGCCTGGCTCCAGAGTGGAGCCCTGGTGACCCACGTCCGGGCGAGGGAACAATGAATCCATTTATTGTGTTCATCATAGGGTCTTTGGGCTGCACTTTGTCTGATCCCTCACCTAGGACCTGTTTGCCTTGGGTGACCCTTCTGGTGGCATGAAGCCCCGACAACATAGCTCCTAGGATCATTGGGACCCTCAAACCTCTTGTAGCGGAAACGTGAATGTTTTCTCAACAAGAGACAAACTGTTGTTCCTGTTAACTCCATCATTTTCACCCTGTCTGTAACATCTAAAAATTAGAACAATGGGCCTCATGCAAGAACCGTTGGTACGCACAGATTTGTTCTG